ACTACTACTACTCCTACTACTACTACTCCGACTACGACTACGCCTGCTACTACTTCCACCACTACTCCTGCAGTTGCTGCTGCTGCTGCTACTACTACTACTACTACTACTACTACTACTGCTACTGCTACCACTACCACTACCACTACCACTACCACTACCACTACCACTACCACTATCACGACCACGACCACGACCACGACCACGACCACGACCACTACCACTACCACTACCACTACCACTACCACTACCACTACCACTACCACTGTAAAGACGACGTTTACTACTCCTACTCTCACTACTACTAGCGCTAGGTGGTAGTGGCAGTAGTGAAAGAAAGCGCTTAAACAGGATGAGCTCCGTTCGCGGTATTCTGACTTCCGACCGAAGAGGACGGTCTCTTGAGCGAGTTGTCCCCAAACCCTAAAAGCCCTAACAACTTGTCCTTTTAAGGACTTATGTAAAGAAGTCATAATAAGGGACTCTAAACAAATCCGTTATTTGGGGGGCACAGGTAAGCTCTAAACCCAAAGCCTTAAGCCCTAAATCGTTCGGGTTAACAAAGGGGTCGGAATAACTAGTAATTACATTCCTTCATAGTCCCTTGAAACTTATATTTCAATACAAGCAAAACACAATTCTATTTCTGAAGTGCTCCTCACTGGACACTGACCATGATGGCGAAAATGGTGCTGATGCTGATGTGGCTGACATAAGGAGGAGGGTTTCGATGTCGACAACCAAAAAGAGGGGGACTAGGATGAAGATTCGCACAAGAACGACGACAAGAAGAGCGAGGACGACAAGGTGGAGCAGGGGGGCGAGTATGGCCCCAGAGGGATAACACGCACAAATAGGAAGGGTTTAGGGTTTAGGGTTAAGGGGTAAAGGATGCTTTGCGAATGTCATGACGATGAAGAGCAGGAGATCATGAGCATGAGGACTAGGATGAAACTCAAGGTGATGATGAGCGGCGTAGGAGAACGGCGTCGACCATGTCGACGATGAGTACGCCCCACTCCGAAAAACATAGACCCTGACCGCCCTAGTGCATCCTCAGAACCTAAACCTTAATCGCTCAAGCCACACACAAAAATCCCTAAACCCTAACCCTCCACAACACAAAAACCTGTGGACAATTCACGGAGAAAGCCACCTTTCGTTTTGGATCTCTGTTGCAGGGACCCTTGCGATTGCAGAGTCGCTGTGGCTTCTACGTGGAGGCACAGGAAGTTTGGTCTGTGTCTGAACTGAATGACAACATCACTCTCCAGGGTGTTAATATAGAAGCGTGAATAATTACCTATATCTTTCCTTAGGCTCCTTATTATAATTGTACTATACAGGAGCTCAAAACCTATTCTAAGGCCCTTACATTATATGCTTTCATATTACCCTAAACCCTAAACCCTAAACCCTAAACCCTAAACCCTAAACCCTAAACCCTAAACCCTAAACCCATAATATAGGGTGATACAGGGGATTTATGCTGTTCTATACGGGTATGAATCGTAGTTTAAACAGTGTTTCCTTTGTGCACGGTTTAGGGTTTAGGGTTTAGGGTTTAGGGTTTAGGGTTTAGGGTCGTTGGACTCTCAATGAATGCAACGAACATACGAGCTCATGTGTGCGTTTGACTTTTGGTACTTGATTGTGGCTGAGATTTCAATTGTCACGGTTGCATCTACGTATGTATCTACTTACTTATCCTTTTGTTTGGTAACTACCTATCTGCCTGACCAGTCTGTGTGGGCATACAGATAGGCCTAGGCAGATGGATATAGATAAGCTCAAGGTTATGTATGAGCATACGGGCTATTTGAGGCAAAGGTGCAACAGATCAGTGAACATTTCTACACGGATATAGATGCAGATGGGATAATTTATGATATGCTGCAGCTCTACCTGCTTCTCGCAGTAGCAGTTTGCTAGTACTGTACCACACCACTATTGCTGCGGGCTATACTTTTTCCATGTGTGAGAGAGCATTCGGAGCTCCGGAGCAGTAGACCGCAAACCCTAAACCTATGAGTATTCGACCAGTCGACGAGTCATCTTGGTTGGATACTGCCCCCGCTCCATAGTAGCCCAATTATAGGCTGTTACGCTACGCAGGCAGTACTCAACATCTTGGGTGGCTGCTTCTGAGCTTCACGACCTGTATCCTACACCCTAAACCCTAAAGATGCCACGGCCTGCAGATTTTGGAATGACCTTTGCCTCGCAGCTAGGGTTTATGTCTGAGCGTTTTGGGGTTTGGGGTCTGGGGCTTCGGGTTTAGTTTTAGGGTTTAGGGTTTAGGGCTGAGCGTTTTGGGGTTTGGGGTCTAGGGCTTTGGGTTTAGTCCCAAGATCTTGAAGCTAACGAGCGGTCTTGGCTTAAGCCTACAGCTCGAAAGCCAAATCGTGAAGCCTCGAGCTGACAGGATGCGCTCAGAATCCCAATTCCTTCCTTGAAGCAAGCCGTAGCTTACTGATATATGGGCCTGGATAATTAGAATAGGGTTTTGGTGGTTCGTATAGTAAGGAATCACCAAAACCCTATTCTGTTTGTTCAGGCCCCCACATTAAGTGTCCTCATGGGAAGTAATTCGGGATTCCGGTGAGTTCTGTAGGGCGCCTTAGCGAGCTATAAGGGGGGGGGGCTGGCTCCAGTATCTAAGATCTAAGGCCGTGAACCCTGAACCTTTACCCTAAATCCTAAATCCTAAACCTTAAACCTCAAGCTCAAAAGCCTACGCCTTGAGCCCAAAAGCCCAAACCTTAACCCCAAACCCAAGACCGCAAACCCTAAGCCCCAAAACTGAGGGTGTAGGGGGTTTTGCACTCAGGCTAGTATGGAAGCCTGAGTGCATTATTCCTTTTGGCTTCCTTTTCATATCTTATACTAAGATCTACCTCCCAAAAGCCCATTCTACCTATTAATCCTAAACCCTAAACCCTAAACTCACTCTACCCTATAAAGGCCCCTATAAGAGGCCTACGCCCGAAGACCCAGGGACGCTTTGTT